TCTCTCTCTCTCTCTCTCTCTCTCTCTCTCTCTCCTGGGGATTGAATGCAGGATCTCACACAGGTGAGGCACCTGTGAACTTGTGCAGAACCACACACCCATTCCGTTCCGTTCCGTTCCGTTCCGTTCCATTCCATTCCATTCCATTCCATTCCATTCCATTCCATTCCATTCCATTCCATTCCATTCCACTCCACTCTACTCCACTCCATTCCACTTTTTTGATTTTGAGACAAAATCTCACCAAGTTTCCCAGGCTGGTCTGGCTTTTACAGTCCTCCTGCTTCTGCCTCCCTGGGATTACAGAAATGTGCCATCATGCCTGGCCTACACACTGCTTGCTTCAGGACATTGTTATTCTACTCCACCTCATTTTGAGAAAAGAGCCAAATAAAGGACTAAAAGTCATCTCATAACATCTCAAAAAGCACATTACAGTTTTTACTTTATTACACAAAGTTCTCCAGGAAATTTTTGTGGTGCCACTTTCCCATCCAAGCTTTCAGGCAGTCAAGCATGGATGAGTCTCCTCCCTCCTTGCCGCAAGTGTGGCCCTTGTGCACGCCTGTGTCCCTTCATTTCCTGGATTGTGCTGAGATCGTCTGTCTACACCTCAGCTGTCTCCATGAAACTCCGAGATTCTTAGAAACTGTTCTCGGCCATCACAGTTTCCCCGGCACCAACCATACAGTTCCAGGCATAACACAAGCATTTATCTAATCTTCATTAAAGGGAAATACAGTGAACATAATCTCTTTAAAGAGCTGCTAGATACGGGAGGTAAGAATGCACTTGTGGAAACTGACTGCTCATCTCAAGCTGTTACACAAACACTAGAAGCTGTCACGTTAGCTCTCTCTCACAGTTCCTAACATTTTGACTTTTCTATGAGCAGTTTTCCAACTTGTTACACAATTGTACTTTAATAAAAGTTTATACCTTTTGCCTAAAATAACAATATACAGTCTTCTCCTTGTCCCGTTTTCATTGTAAATGTTTTCATTTTTAGACTCAGAGTTTTATGGGTTGGAATTGATTACTAGATCCTTTGATATCCTGTGTGATGTGATTGTTACAATAGACTCATGTGGGAAAGTCTCACTGTGGAACAGGGACAAAGAAGGTGGGAAAAGATGCAGCCTTGGGTGTCTCCAGTCCATTTCCCTTCTCACGGCAGAAGACAGAGATTTATTTCGTCAGCCTGTTGCTTCTTGCAAAATTTCAGAACTACTCTAGTGTTTAATAATGCCAACAAAGCTTTCTCACTAGAGTGACCCCATTGGGAACTTAGTTTAAAAATAAACCTAGTAGCCACGTATATTGGTACATGACTGTAGTGCCAGCACTTGAGAGACTAAGGTGGGAGGATGGCTGTGAGTTCAAGGCCAGCCTGGGCTACACAGTGAGAGCTCATCACAGAAAAAGCAAACACTCAAACAAACAAGCACATTAGTTATAAAAATGCATTTTTCTACACATTGGAAAATATAATACCTTTTTAATACTGAAATGGAGAGGTTCAATAAGTAAAAGAGGAAAAGTATTTTGAATAGCTTACCTTCAGTCTCCGTATAATCTTCATCTTCCTCAGAGTCAGTATTTAGAACATCAGGGATGAGACTAAGCAGCAGACAGATAGAAGCCCAAAAAATGAGTTCTTTCTTCATTTTATAAATCATCTCTGAAAGACAGGACCAGACACACCTAATGTTTAAGCGTTAATGGGGTCTTGCCCTTAGTTTCTTATCCCTGCTTCTAAATACCAACTTCTGTGACACTGAATATGTGCTCCTAGAGACCACGTTATTGAGCCAGATTTAAAATACGTTTATAGAGCATTCAAGTTTATAGACACATTCACAGTTCACACATTTGACAACATTCAACTATACAGATCATATTTCAAAAAATAAATTCAAAGGGCAATCCCTGAGACACATGACTAAATTCTGACCAACACAACTGAGTATGTTTGAAGATTCATTTCATGTACATTTGTACTTTCCATGTCCATCTCAGCTATTCTGTATTTTCAATTAATTATATTTTAATTTTTGTGAATTTCATGGTATATTTTGATGCAACTTTCAATTCTGGTATCTGTCACTTTTCTTTCATCCCTTTTTTTCAACAGTAAAGCATATTTTGAGAAACTCCAACTTCTTTCCTTTCAGATGTATTTGCTTTATAACTAATCACACAGAGCTGAGGGTAAAAGAAACATCGAAAATGCCAGCCAGTCCCTTTGTCCAGTTCCTCCTCCTTTAACTTCTGGAGTTATTTGTTTCAAAACAGTATCACAGGACAATGAGTTTAAGCAAGAAGTCAGCACACCATCTTAGGGAATCACACCAGCAGGAGAGGGAGAATTTTCATTTTGAAATGATATAGAAATCCATTGTAAAAATTAATAATAATAATAATAATAGAAAATACAAGCAATGCTTTAAAAAAAGGTGATTTCTCCTTTTGTTCCAAAGATAAAAGGAAATATGCAATGTTTCTGCAGCAGCGGGAGACGGGGAGAAACAGAGGCTCCTGCCCACTTCTGCTCAGACACCGCTGCGAGTGGTCAGGACAGGAAGTAAGACCTCAGCAGTAAATAACAGAAAATGCAGGGAAAATATTCATGAAGAGCACTTCAGAGAATTCTTTGGTTACATCTGTGGTCACAGGTACAGTACACAGAGATACAGGTACAATCTACACTACTAAAATGAAAGTAGCTTTTGAACTAAAAAACATTTTACTGTAAGCACCATTAAGGGTACTTGTGCAATGTCTAATATAATTCTCATGACATACTAGAAATGTTAATATGTATTTGATTTTTATCAGGAGGAGTGATATAAACCTTATAAATCAAATCATACAATATGTGAAATCATAATTGTATATATATTTTACATTGTGTGTATATGCCTAATATATATCAATTTAAAATAATATATAATTATATATCAACTTAAATCCATGTTAAATAATCTTTCCACTATAATTCCAGCCTTTATCTTAATTTTGAAATCATTTTTATAGACTCTTCTATCTCCATTTGAGTCTGTGATGTACACAATCTTATTATGGTTTGAGGATAACTATAGCATGTTTTTTACATCCCGTGGGTGGGAGGCAGGCTGAGGTTTCATGCCCACTAAAGAACTTGAGAACCAGCACTCTCAATCGATCAAATCTCTTTCATAAAAAGTTGCAGCCTAAAGGTTTGCCTGAAGTTAGTCATTCAGTCTTTCCCTGGTTGTAAGATCTGAAGCCAGCTTGGACAAATTAGGTTGAAAAATTATGAGCCATTTATCCTAGAAAATGTGTAACTATCTAGAATTAGAATAACAGGTTTATGTTAGACCTCAGAACCCCTAGAGCCAAGGAGCTGAATACCAGCAGGTGTCTGTTACCTCTTTCTGTCCCTTCCCTTAAAAGAGCTTTATTGGACTCAGTGTAGCCCAACTTTCCCTACACACTGTGAGACAGCTACTTACCGTTCCTAGATTTTAAATCATAAAGATTCTTCATCAGAATAGAAGGACTGCTCTCTTTATCCAGCAGATTCCACACTTTAAGAGTAACACTGAACGGTTTCATTTTGTAAAGGACGCCACCCTTTCTCAGAGTAGCTTTCAAGGGAAGAACGGTGGGAGGCTTCTGTGGGTTTAGTGGACCGTAAACCAGTCCGAGGTCGGGAACAAGAAAATGGAACAACGCTGCAAATCTTGGTGGAACTGCGTGGTTTTGGAGGTGGGGTGAGTAAGTGTAGCTTCTACAGGAGGGGATGCTGCTCTGGAGTATGGGAAGAGCGTTGGACTACACGCATCAGTAAGCCGCAGTGCACACGAGTTTGAAATATAATACTGTAAGCTGTTTCTCCTGATCCAGGCATCCACTTACAGAGGGAGCTAAAAAACTATTTTGGGTTTGTTTTTGCAAAGAATAAATATTTGAGGAAATAGTCTGAGGATGCATCTCTAGTTATAAAAAAACAACTTGTCCAAAATCCAACTGAGGGATAGTTTTTTTTTTTTCCTTTTAAATAGACTTTTCTAGATTTACAGAGAGACTGAGCAGAGTTTGATGGGAAGCTGGAAGGCAGGGAGTTGCTTTTCCATGATGCTGGTTCTAGGTCCTCTGGCTCCAAATGGAACATGCCAGGGTAACACACGTAACGTGATTCTAACAAAGAGTACAACGCTTTCACAGCTTCTGGCAATCTACTAGTATAATAGCCTTGATGCGTAATAACATTCTTTTGTGGGCTAAATCATTCCAAATTGGCTGCTAGTGGACAAATATATTGTTGAAAAACTTGGGTCTGTGTCACATTTGATAACCACTGCAGGTCACTTGTGCCATTTACAGCACAGTACATTCATGCTGAAAACATAACTGTATTTTCTTCCGCCAATGAATCAGCTCCACTGTTTCTCAATGAATCCTGAACCAGTACCCATTCTTCCCCCTATAACTACTGCTCCACGCTCCCCCATTATATCCCACATCAATCAATATTCAGCGGCTCTCTCATTTCAGTTCCAGGATGCCACTTACTTCCAGAAAATTTTCCTATTAATCTAATGCATTTATCTTATTATCTTATTTTCCAATTAATTAACATGAAGATTATAACAGTGCTTCTTGGAGGATGTTCTAACCTCTGCGTAAAACTAAACCTAAAAACAAAACATCAAAACGTAGTAACGGTATATAGTTCCTTCTAAACTTTTTTCTTCTTTGACTACTCTGACTTTTCTATCACACCACTTCAATTTATGATGGAATCTGAATGCCTTGGGAAGCTGGGAGTCTTTTTTTTCATCTATTGTGCGGGAGCACACACCATGGCTAGAATTTCAGATTAACCAAGGACTTTCTGAAGAGCCAGGAACTAAGCAAATTTAAATGTGGATTCACTCTCCGATTTCAATCCCTGAACTAGTAAGAGGTGGAGGGCCCAGTGAGTGCCAGACCAACTACTTTCATCTTCACTCCCCAAGGAATTTCACTGCTATTATATTTTCTCACCATGTTCAAAACCCTGCTTTCAAATATTCCACAAAAGCATTTCATGTTTTAGTCTGTTGTTTAGCACAGTTTGCATTCTTTATCTTTTTGGCTGACTCGGGCTATGACTTAAACAACTTGTGAATGATGATAGCAGAATTTAGGTATGAATCCATGTACCCAGCTCTAGTGTAGCACAAAAAATATAATTTTTTCCTTTATGAGAAATCCAGTTTTAAATAAAATTGAAAAACAGGTTTATAAACCATGGTCTGTGGATCTTTTCTGCCATAGACCTGTAGAAAATATTCCATGAGGATCTGCTTGATAATCATATGGTCCAGGGTTTGTGGTAGAAATATGCTTTTATTTATTTACAACTACTAGGGGTTGAAGCTAGGACTTTTACACTGAGCTAAATCTCCAGTTCATTTTATTTTTTTTCCACTTTGAGACAAAGCTTTAGCAAGTCACAAAGTGCTCTCCTCTTGCCTCAGCCCTCCCAGATGCTGGGAATTCAGACACATGCCACCAACTCAGAGAAAAAGTCTCCTCCTTCACAAAAATAATTTATTATTCATAACTGTTCTAGGTTAACAAAAAAAAATAGAAGAGAGTGCACAGAACAGTCATGTGCCTCACACCAATTTTCCTTTTATTAATATATGATATCAATATAGCAATCAACTTTTACTATTAATCTATCACTGTTGATGCATTATTATTAACTGAAGTTCATATTTTAAATCCAATTTTCTTAGCTTTTTCCTGCTCTTTTTCCTATCCCAGTACCCCATCCATTATCCCAGTATCCCATCCATTACTTCCTGGTGTCATCTGTTTAAGGCTCCTGTTGGCTGTAGCACATTCTTTTTTTTTTTTTTTTTTTTTATTTCCCATGTTTAATAAATCCAGCAATCGGGCTGGGGATTTAGCTCAGCGGCAAAAGCGCCTGCCTGGCAAGCGCAAGGTCGTGAGTTCGGTTCCCGGTACCGGAGAAAAACCAAAAAACAAAACAAAACAAAACAAAATTATCCAACAATCTTACCTATCGTCGGCCTATCGTATAAACGAGAAAATTGCAAAGGTAAACTACCTGCCAAGATCG